TTTTAATTATATGATACTATGTTACCTAACGGCATTGTGTAGTACCATCCAAGTAATAATCTTAAATATTAATATTAATATTTCTCATATTATAAAAAATAAAATTATCTTCTATAAAACAAACCTCGATCCTTAATATATCTTATATGAAAAAGGAACCAACATCGAGGAGAGCGCATTCAATACTTTGGGCTTTTATATTGGAGATCCTTTGAGATTAAAAGAAAGTATTAACGACAAAGTGGTGAATCACCAAACTGCAAAACTATGATGGACCACCAAAAAATAAATAAATTGGTTTTGATAGATTTTTAGAACAAAATATCGATCATATAGCTCGACTATTACATTCCATTTTGTATACGTGTGTCGAGGGTTAATGTTCAATTCATATAAACTACAAAACAAAGTAAAATCACTACGAATGACACCGCAAGGAATAAAAAAAAAAAGTTTTAGTAAACTCAAGCCTTTTACACTGCTAGTTAATTGGTTTATATTTTTATAGACAGTAATGTCACGACTGTTTATTAAATGCAAATTGTAATTTTTATTTTTTGCTCATGTGTTGGTTAACTCTCGCGTTGATAAAACTTAGGTTGCAGTGAAAATAATCAATTCTATTTTTGTTTACAACCTCTTATAACTATATCTTAACTGTTAATTTTCGCCAATTAATGATTACTATTTTCACAAATCAAACTTATTAATTAATTATTAATTCACAATAAATGATAACCATTGATTGACGAAAATCAACAGTTACGATATGGTTATAAATGAAAATAGGATATAAATATAACGTTTCTCCTTCAACAAATATAAAGAGCTTCTGATCATTCTTGTGAATATGCGTTAATTGCTTCAAAATATTCACATTTTCAACTATCGATCATCCATTGACCACATTTTTGGCATGCTCTCCTTCTCTCTTGGGATATTGATCAAATGGTAAGAGAGATAGAGAGCTTATGACATGATCCGATGGTAAGTGTTATGAAATCCCGCTGGCTCAACTCGATCGGGTCGATTCAGAACTCGGTGAATTAGTTATTGGACTGGTTCAAGTCAAGTATTGAATCGGTCATGCATTAGATCTGGTCAAAATCAGTGACCCGATCAGGTCATGCATTTTTATAATAATACAAACAAAAAAACCAAAATTATTTTATCTTTTCAGAAAAAATGTAGAACTCATTTTAAAATTTTTTGTGATTTTATTTGCTAGTAGTATACTCTTCTACAATGACCTCACATTTTAGCTTCCAATATTGAAACAATTTGCGGAACAATAAATTAAGAGAATGTGACATATGTCATTTTAATGTAGATGAATTTGAAAAATATGAATTCATATCATCTGGCCTTTTGAATGTCATTGAGAAATATGTTTATGTGAATTCTGAGTTCCAATTTAAATTGATACAGTAATAACGTGCATTTTCAATTATTTGTACTTTATCAACTTGTAAAAATGTGATTGAATAATTTTTTTGCTTATTTAGTGAACCTTGTTTAACTTATTTTAAATATGGAGAATATAATTAAACTTATATGTTCATGTTTATATATATTTATATATATCCGGGTCAACCAGTCTCATCAGTGATCCAGTACCCCCGACCGGGTCGATGCTTGGGTCGGGTTTAATAACACTAGTTTGATCATTTGAATTTTAAAGGTTTTTTTTTTCATTTTAAACTATTTTTTAACAGAAAAATATTTCTGCATTTAATGCAGATAAGTTATCTGCATTTATTTCCAAAATGACATCGTTTTGTGATTGAAATATTAGAAAATTATAATTATAAAGACTATAATAACCCTGGAATAAATTAAAATTACAAAAATACCATGATTTCCGTCCGAAAACGACGTCGTATTGGGCTTACTGCAGATAACTTATATGCAGTAACTGCAGAAAAAGCTAACCATTTTTTTAATGTTATAAATACAAATAGGGTTTAGTGTTTGTCCTCTTAAAGGACATAGAGTTATGTTATTTTAAGTAAGAGAAAAACACAAGCAATGAAAATCATGGGAGAGAAAGTAGGTGATATTTTTTAAAATTTAAAATTTAAATAAAAAAAATACTAGGTTGTATCTTTCTCTCGCTTAAAATGATACAATTATATATCCTTTTAAAAGAATAAATATTTTCCCATACAAATATTATTTTTAAGGGTTTATTATTTCTCCATCAATATGAGATACCCAAAACTATATCGTTTTGAGAGTTGAAGTAATTAATTAAAGATAATTTAGAAATTTTATTTATTTCTTGTTATATGAATTTTATAAAAAATATCATTTATTAATTATTTTAACCCAAAATGACGTAGTTTTGAAATTGATTGAGTTAACTTTATCTCATGTTAACGGGAAAATGATAAACCCTATTTTTAGACACTAATCATACTTAGAAGGTGTATGGTGAGAAAATGTGATAATGGTTGATTTATTTGAACTAGCATTACAGAGCACTTTATTCGCTTGTAATAGCTAGTGATTGAACCATATGCTTGAAAATAATAGTGCGCGTTCTTTGACGGTTCTAGAAAAGGTAGTTATACGGTAAGAAGTAAGGACAAGGTCAAACAATTTATTGCTTAAACACTTGTGCCTTGGTGAACTTAAATTCAACTAACTTGGTAACAATCCTATTTCCTAAATGACTGGTGGTGTATACTACATATAAATTTTGGCTGTAAGAAAAAAAGAAGAAGATAATTTGAATATATATTTCTATTTTATATTTTTTCTTGTAAATATTTGGTTTATTTTAATTATTATTAATGTGCAGTATACGAGCACCAATACAAGATTTGGCTTTTGAGAAGTAATGAAACTATTTTTTTTTGGTGAAACCTAAATTCCTTTAAAATCAAATCATCCAGGCATTAATTGCATCCTGTATTAAAATTTAAAACAACTAACTTAATAAATTTAAAATAAAATCTTACCCGTTGAGAAAAGTATTTTTAAAATACCGTAAAATTTAGGGAAAGCTGTGGGCGTTAGGAGCAAAAACCTGTTTATGATAATCAACCAAATTACCAATTGAAAGCGTGAATGAGTCTCTAAGAACAACGATAAGTGGATTAGCTACTTGGACCACCAAACCTACTTTTCCAAACATTATTTATAATATTTTTGTCCTCCAAAAATTGTGTGTACCGTAGAGGGCGAGGTTGCTTCGTGAATCACAATTGATCCATTTGTTGTGATTACTTACCAGTTAACCATCTTTCTATAACGAAAGGGCAGCAGACAGGTGTCAAGTTCATGGCTTAAAGGGAACGAGTGTCCTTCTAATTTATATAATTATTGAGAACCTAATATTGATATGGCATGCTCTCATCATGTAAGATCAACTCAAGTTTAAGACTTTATTTTTCACCCTCCTTTTGGTATAGCAAGTTGAAGACTTTACGAGATATTCACATATGCCAAACGCCAAGTACTCAGCTATCCAACCACGTTTTCAGGACGAACGAAAATGACAACTCTCATTGTGGGATGAAAAGGTCGAAATAGCTGTTTCAATTCAACACGCTTTGTTTTCTCCACTATTCCTTTATTAACACAAATTTTTAATATATATATTTGAACCGCGATTGAATTTTGTTTTTTACAAAATAATGAAAGAAAGAGTTACATATAACATAGCCTATATATATATTATAAATCTAATTAATTATGATAAGTATGATTGAACCAATCATTTTGATATTACATCTTAAATACCATTTACTAACAGTCAAACTTGTTCATAGAAAATTAGAAAAGGAGAGAAGGAAGGTGGTGTTTAGTTTATCTATTGTTTTAATTTTTATTTGACATACTGTTATTAATAATTTATATCATCTTATTTATTTTTAAAAATTTATAAACAATGATAAAGCTAATGAAATGAATATATAATATGAGTTTGATATTTGTCATTTTAAATGACATAAATTATGTCATTTTAAGAGAGGAATAGACACAAAGAAAAAAAAATCATTGGAGAGAAAGTGGGTGTTTTTTTTTATATTAATTTAAATTTTAAATAAAAAAATTTATTTTGTGTCTATTTCTTTATTAAAATGACATAACTTTATGTCATTTAAAATGACAAATACTTTTTCCATATAATATTTTATAATCATACACCAAAACATATCGATTAAAATAATAATAAAAAATTAAACTAACTACTAGCATAATTCGAAAGAAAATGGTTTTTCAAATTAAAAAGTAACACTTTTTTTGTTGAGGAAAGATAAGAAAAAGTGAAGAAAAATAGCCAAATTAATGTTAAGAGTAGTAAATTAACCAGGTGAAGGCATGCTCTCAGCTCGTGAATAGGTCAGATCACAAGTTAATAATTATATTCATAACAGGTAATAAATTTGGTCATGTTAACACATTTAAACACAAATTTAATTTTTTAAAATCGACTTGATGCGTTAACATCCGTAGTTAATGTTAAAAATTAAAAGTGTGTTTAAAAAAGTTTAATTTAAACTTTCATAATTTAGTATTAACGTGACAATAAAATACTTTAAATTACGTTTCCAAATAAAAGAATTAAATATAGAATGTGCGCGTGACTAAAGCGATGTCATACATCACCAACGCGTCACCACGTATGAACACGAGAAGACAGTTAAAATACCGGGTCGGCGGTGAGCGAAATTCCCATGTTAACCCTGACCCAACTGTAACCAACCGTAAAGTCAAACCTGACAGCTTGTACATGTAAGGGCATTTTCCGTCTTTTCAAGGTAGCAACCCTCCAACACTTCAAAGGTCATGCGTCAACCTGAAAAACAGTCACGTGTCGGTGAAGCCAAGATACAACGCGTGCAGCGCAAACGCCTCCCCAGAATCCTATGGTGGGTAGAAGTGCACGTGTCCGTCATCTGGAAAAGTTTACCGGTAGCCGCCGGTAGCCTACCGGAGCCTCTTATATTGCGTTTCAACACAAACGTTTCAGAAGTTTTTTCGATCAGAAATCCCAACAGAAACTGCGAGAGAATTCCCAAGAAAGCCGTTAAAAATCAAATCTTTTTAGAATATAACACAGCATTCAGCTCTGTAAAACGTTGAATTTCGAGAAGAAGGAGAAGATTAGAAGAAGAAGCATAGAAACATGGTGGCTGAAGCAGAGGTTGTGTGTCAACAAAGCGTGGGTGTGTTGGATGTGAAGTATTTTCCAAACAAAGGGAGCAATATTCACGAGATCGGAGATGCAGATGCAATCTCGCCTCCGAGTTTTGAACGAGTTCGTGCTTCTGAATCAGTCTATGCTGAGTTACTCACTTCACAAGAAGTCAGTTTTTTCATACCCCCCCTTTTTATATTTTCTTGTGATTTTGTGGGTTTCTGTTGTTGGATGACATATATGGTAATAGAAATGATGGGTTTATTTCCATTCGCTTGTTTAATCATGTCGGATCGACGACCCAACAAAACAAAAGTAAAAAAAAAATGAAAACTTTTGGATCAGGAATCAGCTGAGATATTGAGCTTTGGTGAAGATACCTGAATTATGTGAATTTCGTTTAGATTACTTCCTTGTGCTACTTGTTTAATTTAGGAACATATATTTAGTTTAAGCTCTTATTTATGATGATCCCAATTGTTTATTAGCAACAAGTAAATCTCTCTCTGTCCATTTGAAATTGAATTTATTTGTTGAGAGAGACACTCAGACACGTGTAGGATGGATTTTATAGGAGTTCATGCCCAAAATGATAACATAGCTGCTCGCTAATGGGTTGAGGAACAAATCCTCCAGGAAAATGTTCGTAATTTTGCATTAGATTTTCAAAATTGTGAGAATCATATGATTATTAGCTTGTTGACTTCTTCGATGAGATCATGAGCAGTTAAAATATTTTTAATGATCCATGCTTACAAAATTAACTTCTCTGTAATGTGACCCAAGAACCTAAGGACACGCATCTACCTCCTTTTGACAGATATATATATATATATATATATATATATATATATATATATATATATATATATATATATATTCCATTTAACACTATTTGTGGTTTGGAGCGTGATTGTTTCTATGCTATGAACAAGTTACGCAAAATTCTAATTCTCAATTTACTGATTTGCATGTAATTATTCTCTGTGTAGGATGTTAAGCCTGCAGACAGAATCTCAGATGCTGCTCTTGAATCTGTGGTTCTGCAATTTGTCCCATGCATCCGTTCTGGTAGTTTTTCTGACATTGGGCCACGAAGATACATGGAAGATGAACATATAAGGATAGATGATTTGTCTTCTTATTTGGGATCACCATACAACTTTCCTAAGCCCAGTGCCTTTTATGGGGTAATTAACTTTTCACCTTGGTCCCTTGATTTTGTTTGGTCTTATTCTAAATCTAATTGAGCTTTTAATCTCTCAGGTGTTTGATGGTCATGGAGGACCTGAAGCTGCAGCTTATGTAAGAAAAAACGTGATAAAATTCTTCTTTGAGGATGTCAATTTCCCCCAGACATCTGAAGTTGATAATGTATTTTTACAAGAGTTAGAGAATTCCCTCAGAAAGGCATTTCTTTTGGCTGACTCAGCTTTGGCCGATGATTGCAGTGTCAATACTTCATCAGGAACTACGGCCCTTACTGCTTTGATATTTGGAAGGTATACATTCTTGGTTCTCCTTTATTTGCACAACTTTAATAATATCTTTAATAGCTTATGTTTATCTATTTTTATTTTTTACTTGATATATAACATATGCAGTTTTTCTTTTTAATCAAATCCAGTTTCTTATGCATGATTGGGGTGTTCTCTCTCATTGATTTAATATTTATGGTCCTTGTATGTTGGGTTTGCTGATTTCTAATATGCTTCTTTCAGGCTTCTAATGGTGGCCAATGCGGGTGACTGCCGAGCAGTTCTGTGTCGTAAAGGAGAGGCCATTGACATGTCTAAAGATCACAGGCCTATTTATCCATCAGAGCGTAGGAGAGTTGAAGAATTGGGGGCTTACATAGATGATGGTTATCTCAATGGGGTTTTATCCGTTACTCGAGCACTAGGGGACTGGGACATGAAGTTACCTAAGGGTGCTCCTTCACCTTTGATTGCGGAACCTGAGTTCCAGCAAGTGATTCTAACAGAGGATGATGAATTCCTCATCATAGGATGCGATGGAATCTGGGATGTAATGTCAAGTCAGCATGCTGTTAGCCTTGTACGCAGAGGCCTAAGACGGCACGATGACCCGGAGAAGTGTGCTAGGGACCTGGTTATGGAGGCATTACGCCTTAACACATTTGACAATCTCACAGTGATCATTGTATCCTTCTCTTCACTTGACCACATGGAGCCAGAGTCATCCCCACCTCGCCAACGGAAATTGAGATGCTGTAGCCTCTCTGCAGAGGCTCTTTGTAGCTTGAGGAGCTTGTTGGAAGGCAGTGCTAGCAACTGAATGTATATATACAGTTCATCAATTAAAAGTGTTGTTGTAGTACTGATCATTTAATGCTGTTTTTGGCTGCTTCAGTTTAGTTAAAACATTGGAAAAAGCAGTCATCATTTTTTACGTTCCGGTTGATGTACATAACCCGGGTTAGAGGATGGCGGTGTAGATATGTAATATTGTTTTATTATCATTTTGTACTATAGTCGATTTTTTTTTCCACGATGAACGCCATACTCATGTCACATTCTTGTGTGTCAATAAAATTTTGTTTGGAATATCTTAATTTCTGTTGCGTTATCTTACTGCAATTGTATGATAGGAGGGGATGAAGGCTATCTACATTTTTGCATGGACATGACGTGCAATTAGTCTGACTATAGGACTCATTTTTCTCGTTCTTGAAGTTGTTTGACAACTTTTACTTGGTGAAATCTAGATCTAAAAATGTGAGTGGTACAAAAATAATCCTAGGCCTTGAAGGGTTGCTGACCCTGATCGGGGTATCTAACATGTCTGATGCCTTTTATTTTGCATTATGACCGTCAGTGTTATGAGGAATTTAGACTTTAGAGTGGGACAACCATCCATGCAACCAAAACTGGCATGATAACCGTCCCCCATTTTTTGAGAGATTCAATCAATGTTTGACAAAATAAGATCGTCATAGAAAAAAAAAATCATGTATTCATAATTTTAGATGTGTAGTCCCGTTCTAAAAAATCAGGACAATTGTAATAAAATCAAAGATTTAGTAGCTTTTTGCGAAGGTAGCAAATCTTTCCAAACCACGTTGAAGTAAACTTTCAAGAAAGGGTTTCAGCGCCTGCAAATTATGTCATGGAGGGGGAAAAAACATCAGAAAGGGTTATAAAGTCGTATCAAAGGTGCGAATATTCGCATATAGAATCTTACTATAACTGGGTGAAAAGCCGAGAAAAAGTAACAAACTAGGAAAACGTCCTCCAGTTGTCTTACTTTTTTTTCCCATACCCTAATTCTCCTAGCAATAAATAAAAATTGGAAATTCTTTTACAGCTTTTGTCCACTTTAATTATTATAACTTTACCCAATTTTTTAAGGTCAGATTACTCACCGATGCCACTGGAACCAAAAGTTGAGGAACCTCATATGAGACTGTCATCTGTAACGGACCAAAATGCAGTAGTTAGTGCTTCTCTAACTTAGGTGGAAAAAATGGAGAAAAAAACTTCGTCTAGGATGACATTCAAGTTCTCGTAATAAAAGCGTGGAAAAAAATGCTGATGGGACAGATACGAAACTATTTTCAGGAAATTATTGCACAGTATGCACACATGTAGTGCACTGGACCGATAGATATTGGCAATTAGTTGGACCAATGGGGATATACAGCCAGTTTGACGAATACTGCATTATGAAACTTATAATTGATACTGGTGCACCCAAAGATTTTCATAAATTTGAAGTATGGGATATAAGTATAATGAGGCTCTGCAAATACCCATACAGGCAACATTGGTGGATAAAAGTTTCACATTGTTATAAACATAATATGGGAAAATATTTTCTCATGTAATAGGAGAATTGTTTTCTCCTATCAGCGACCCTTCGATTTGCGTGTAGCAATTTTGTTTTGTTTTGAATAGATGTGGACCCAAACAAAATGTGACTATAATTTGAGAAAATTTTCCTCTACTGCATGAGAAAATTGAAACCCATATAATATTAGGTAAAACATGCAAAAAATTGTATAAAAGGCCTTACTTCTACTACACATGATGAAGGACCTTTTGGATAGAATCGCACAGCACCTCTGCCACATGAGAAATCAAGCAATTAAAAAGTCTTAAAAGTTCTGAATAATCATCCACGCAACACTCTGTCTATAACAGTCATATCATTAATTTTGTTTTAATGACACAAATGGAAATTAGATAAAGGCTAGTGCTAAACATGGTTATGCAGCATGTGTTTTTTAACCACTATTTATTTGGCTTGAACAAGATACAACTAGGAATTCTTTAATCATGATTGAAGCATTGCATTTCACAGACATTGTAGAGTCAGCTAACAGACAGCCAGTCCAGGCACAGGCGACCATGACAATACTATCATAGATTTATCTAATGTCTTAATGCAGAAATATAACATGCATGACACAGATAAAGAAAAATAAAGGGCAAAGGCTCCTCAACTTATGAGGGTAGGGATGAGGGTTAATTGTACGTTGTCTTACCTTTATATTTTTGTAAAGAGGCTGTTTCCTAAACTCAAACCCATGATCTTTCGGTCACAAGGAGCAACCTTATTGCTGCTCCAAGGCTCGCGCTCATTACTAACCAAACTAGAGAAAGGAAAATGCTAACCTAATTAGAGAATTTTACTGCTATAAAGGTTGAGGGGCCTTTTATTCCCTTAAATTACATGAGACCATGCAATATTTATAACATAGAACCCACAAGTTTCAGGTCGGACTCTAGGACTTGAAAGTTGAAACCTTAGAGTATTCATTCTTTAGGCATAAAAGCTGGATATCGGCATTCCTTACCAGCAAAATATTATTATAGAACCTGCTAAGGAGTAAGGTGCTAATTTCCTAGGAAATATATCATAATAAACTAATTTTAAGTGATCTTTATAGCTGAATTTAATACACAAATACTAAATCTTCAGCTTTATAACTTAGGGGCACATGCGTGAGGTAGGATTTACCTTCCCTTCCTTTTTCGGTACTCATATATAAGAATAATAGCATAAATACTACATCATAAAGTAAATTCTGCAATATAAGCATTAGCAAGGGTTACTTAATAGTTAATACTATGTTTGGGAAACAAAACCAAACAAAGAAAAAGGTGAGGCATGACAATAATACTATGCATGTGCCATTCATTCATGTCTGAATCTGTTGTCAATTCCTCTCCTCTCTTTTTCTATCATCTTTTCATTTTCCAAACAAAGGTTAGTGGTACAAATAAGATTTTTTTTTATTCTTTTACTTTTCTATATCACTTCAGCACATCATCAAGTATTTCAAGTTCACGTCTTGTAGTTGGTCAAATATGATGGTTCACTATTGCGAAACTACAATAATGCTTGGACAGTTCAACATAATATAAAGGACAGCCAGTAAACAAATGTGCAACTGAACTTTTCTTTGCAATCTTACATTTCAAATGTCTCTCTACAATGAAGAACTACCGAAATTTCCACAAAAGAGGCAATCAATCACGTTATATTCATTTATCAGAAAATGTCCTTGTATGTTACCTGTTGGGAAGACCTTCCAGAGATCGCCAGTGGATTTTCTGATTTGGAGTGGGCTGCACGAGGGTCATATAACATGAATAAAAAATACCAACTGTAAAGAGCATATATTGAAAATAAGCTACAATATTAGGTTGGAGATCTTTTCCTGCATATTACGAGCAAGCCAAGAGAATTCAATATCACGACCAAATGCCTTATACTTCAAGGACCATCGTGACAGGTCAGGTTTGTCTGGCAATATCTGTGAAATGGATCCAAAATTTGCATTAAAAAAATACTTTATGATTTTATTTGAATGGAAATCACAGGGTTTCAATATTCCTACTGAAACATTTAGATCCAAAGCAAGATAATACCTTATGCTGATCCTAATGTTACCTCTCCTACTTGGCAACAAGGCAGAGAACAACAGATTTCAATCAAATACTATGTTTGATTTAGCAAAGAAAAAGAAGCAAAAGCTATATCTTCTCTGTTACATTTAGCAGACAATAATTTCTGATTCTGACAATGCCTTTCAATTTATTAGGTTCCAGAATATACTTAAATTTTTTATGCTGCTAAGGAAAATATGAGGACATGTTATAGGTCATGTACACCACTCAATATTGGCTAACTTGAGATATTTCCTCATCAATGTAGTTAATCTAAAGTAACAGCAAAACAAAACCCCGATTATGGTAACTAGGAAAATTGATACTTAGAATTGAAGGTGAGAAAGACATAAAATGCACCTTAACAGAGGAAATAAAGGGCATCCAATTCGGGATGGCTTCGCGATCAGAATAACAAGTATAAGCGACAGAGACCGGCACATCAATCTCCATCTTAACCCTGCAGTCATCGATGGTTAAGCTTTAAGAACCCAGACACAAGTGCTAACAACTAACACGAATTGAAAAAATGTACAACGTTAATAACATGACATTGTCCGCTAATTCAACAAAGAACAAAATGGCAAAACCACCCAACATAACACCTTGGCTTAAGAATCAAAGACATGTTCAATCAAGTCTTATAAGGGCTTGGGGGGGGTTAAACTAGAGAATTATGAAATTACTGTAAATGAATCATAGAGAATGTCAAATTCTCACTAAATTGGACTTTTTTAAGAAACTGATTTAATAGAAAGTAGTGAGTGAAAAGTGAAAAGTGAAAAAAGAAAGGAGTTACGTGCAATCCTGCCACTCCATGACGGGGGAATAGTAGCGCTTGAAGCCATGGAAGGTTGGGGTTCGCTTAGAAGAAGAAGTGTTGTATCTGCGACAGTGAGGGAGCTTGAAGAAGAAGTGATTGGAAGATAGCGGAAGATTGGCGGAAAATGTGGTTCTAGTTGAAGACGACAAGTGGGTCAAAGACGGTGTTGTTGAAACAAAACATATCACAGTTGCAGTTGCAGACATGTTCCAATCTCTCTGAATTGAGACTTCTCTGGCTCTGCTGCACCTCCCTCTCTCTCCTCTCTCTGAGTTGTGAGTTGTGACCGTGACAATGACAATCATGTAACAATAATAATAATAATAATCCCACGCTCATGTGCTAGTGTTGCCGTGGTGTACGATGGATCCACACCCACTGAATTTTCAAATTAAATCTTGGGCTTTATAACGTGCTAAATGCACACTATGGCCCAAACCAAGCTTGCTAAATATTATATTATACCCACTGAATTTACAAATTCAATCTTGGGCTTTGTAACGTTGCTAAATGCAGTTCATGGCCCGAACCAAACCTGCTAAATGTTATATTATATAATAAAGCCTTGACAACTGTATTAATAAAAAATGGATGATGTTGTACAGGTCTTGTAATTCAGTGGCACTAATTATGTTTAAATTCATCAGACTATTTTGCTTGCTTACATTTTTTCTTCCGACATTAATTTTTAAACCACCTCCGTAACAAAAAAGAAGAAGAAGAAAAGGAGTACAGTTAATGTTTTAGAAAAATGTTATGTCAATAAAAAAAGAGCAGTCTCAATTAATTCGAATAGTTACTCTAACTAATAATTTATATAATATATTTTCCTTATATAAGATCACTAATACAAGCTGTTAATAATTAATGATCATTATTCATATACGTTAGAAGAGTTGTTAATGCGTACATTTACTATGAGAGACATTAAGCAATATAAACTCACATCCCAGCGCTTTATTTCCTGGTTTTGGGGAGAATTACATTTTCTCCAATTTCTCTCATGTTAGTGACTCAAAACATAAGTGGGTCTCACCTTAAATTTTTTTTTTTCTTTCCACTATTTACTGGGACCCACTTATACAATGTGTCACTAACATGAAAAAAAATTTCTCCTTTAAAAAGAGAAAATGTTTTCCCTTCAAACAATGGAGAAAAAAGTGGCCCAAGACTACCAAAATTTAGTGGTACTGTTTGAAAATATGACACATAGATGAAAATATAAAATTAAATAAAGGAGTAAAGTAATTTTCTTTTGGAAAAAATGTGTGTTTTTAATTTTAAAGGATCTAAAGTTGTGTTATTTCAAGAGAAAAAAAGAGATAGATAAAGGAGGAGAGAGGATTGACAAAAAAAAATAATGGTGTGGATCTCATCTCTTTGTGAGAGTAAAATAATATAAGTTGTGTCATTTAAAAGGATAAACAATTTTTCCTTATTATTTTTTTTTTTTTGTGAAAATAGAAAAGAAGACCACTGAATTTTGGTGTTCCCGGTACACCACCGAAACATTTTACAAACAATGAAGCAACTCACTAACAATGCTGAAGCAAAGGTAAGACTTTCGTACCGTGGCGTCAAATTAGATGTGTCATCTAATAACTAGAATTGGAATTTACCAACAAAATATTGCTTCCCCATGGATGTCAGTCTCATCCTCTAGTAAGTTGTAACCAGTTTTCAAAGTTGAACCTGAAAGTTCCCAAACCAGACAGTCAAAGTCAAAAGTCAAAACTACCTTTCCCCTATGAAAATTATAAAACCCTTCACCCACTAGTAGTGTAACCTCTTAAACCAAAGCAAATTCCAGAGCTTCTTAGTCTACTGTGGTTCTCCCTTTTGCACTCTCTTAAGTTCACCAATTATATTATGCATAAAGAAGAGGCCACTGCCTAGCGGTTAAATTTGGATAAGCAACTGTCAATGGCATTGGAGGTAGAGTGGTACGATTTGGTGTGTTTTGGCATTGTTGGTGTGGCCTTAGTTGGTGCCTTATGGGTGCTGTGGATGAAAGAAAGAGCCTCCCAAAGCAATTTTGGCATATTGGATGAGAATCTTCTGGTGGCTGGACCAGACAATGGAATGGCAGTGAATGTGCTTATTCACAGAGCCATTGGTCATGTAAGCACCTCTCAACTTTGGACCAGCTGTTGGCGAGGAGTGCACCCTTTGTGGCTCTTGGCTACGCGTTTCCTTTCCTTTGTGATCATGGCAGTGTTATTAGCATTGGATGTTCTTGCTTACGATCCAAGCATCTTTCTTTACTACACGGAGTATGTTCTTTCCTTCCAATTTCTACATTCTAATTAACAAACTTTTGGAAATCCCTTCCTGTCATGTCCAATATGGATGATATACACAGATAATCTCAAACTAACTTTTTGTTATAGAACTAATAATTTCTTTTGAAAAGATTGTTCCAATTATGTTTAAACTTTTGAAATTCCCTTTGTGTCGTGTCCAATATAGATATCAATGTCACAGGATATAACATTTCTCATGTATTCATTTATAATTAAGTAATCGGAAGAGTTTATAATTATAATATTAAAGTTATATTTTTTTTTAATATTATAAATATATAATTCGCAGTCACAAATAGTATAGGGTTTGGTGTTTGTCATTTTAAATGATATAAATTATGTCATTTTAGGAGAGAGATAGACACAGAAAAATGAAAATAATAAGAGAGAGAAAATAGATGATTTTTTTAATTTAAAATTTAAATAAATTTTTTTTTCTATGTCTGTCTCTCTTAAAATGACATAACTTTATGTCATTTAAAATGACAAACATTTTTCCCAATATTATATCCTTCGACATTATAATTGTATTTTCCGACAAAAAAATAAAATAAAATAAAAATTTCAATGTCAATTGTTTTACTTGTAATTGTTTTAGGGAGAGGTTATCTTTACAACCTAAATCATTTACAAACTCTTACAATCATATTTTAATCGTTAATTTTCGCCGATCAACGGTTGTTATTTATTGTGAATTAATAATTAATTAATAAATTTGATTTATAAAAATCTTAACCGTTGATTGACGGAAATCAACGATTAAGATATAATTGCAAGAAGTTATAAACAAAAATAGGTTACGAATATAAACTACCCGTTTTAGGGGGAAAAAAAAATACACTTGCAACATAGGAGTCTACGAAACAGTTGTCTGGGGTCAACGGTTAATGTTATTGTTCTTTGTTTCAGAAGGCCCTCCCTTTGATCTCTAGCCCCTTGATATTTCTTCAAAGTTTGTCTAGTCTTCTACAGTTCAACCTCCACCAATCAACACCCTGTTCAAGTGTCTTAGTGAATCCCATGATCTATTTCGTTTTGTGATACTGGGGTATCTCAAAAAAGCCTCTGACTTTATTCACAAATGTCAGATGGTGAAGACAGTGAGGGCTATAGGTACTGGCTTCGATGGCAAGTGCCTGTCTGTGCTTTGATCCTCATTGTCTCGGTCATAATAGCTTTGATGCACATACTAAAGGCCAAAGCAGAGTCCTTGAGTTACAATCACCTGTGGATTCCTCGTTGGAGAAATCTCAATCCAGTGTGGCTTCTCTCATATAGAGCTTTCGCATTCCTTTGCTTGGCTCGCATCCATTTTGATATTATTGCCTTGGATGGAGTTTTTTCTTTCTATTTTTATACCCAGTAAGATGAATATATGATATATCTATTAACTATGTGATCTTGTTTCCTAGCGTGGAAAACTATGGAATATGGAACTTAATAGCATGCCAATTATCTTATGACTATGTAATTTGAACTTCAACTTATTCTTTGGCACTTGCATGATTCTTGTTCGTTGACCACTGAGACCATTTAATCGTATTGCATTTATTTGCAGGTGGACATTCACATTGGTTATGATATATTTTGCTGTAAGTCAAGCACGTCCATCTCATTTTTTTTTTGAATTAGGATCTAAGATACATTGAAAAATCATGTGTTCTAGGGAATTGGGAGTTATGACCAATGCAGTACAAGGTGTATAAAACAGTTCTTGTTTTTAGATAATTAGCACCTACTTTGCATTTATATTGTTTCTTATATGCAGTTGGGGACCATAGTATCTGCTTACGGATGTTGGCAGTTCTTAAACAAAACTCCGTTTGAAAATGGAGAAATGGCTGAGTTTCTGAGAAGGGATTTGGAAGAGAGTATGTCTCCAAACTCAATTGCATATAAAGGGAAAGAAACCAAAGGTTCCATCAAGTTGAAAAGCCGATATGTTGAAGAGGAGTTTAAACAAGGGGCAGGTTTCTGGGGTTACCTTATGCAAATTATCTATCAGGTTGGTCAAACCCACATTAGATTCAAACCCACTGATATTCATATTGAAATATACCAGATCAGTTTTACCCCATGTTTATGCATATTTTTTGGGCCTCAATATGTAAGCTACACTGCTTTCAATTAGTTGACTTATCTTTGGCTATGTATCACTGTTGATTGAAATTGTAAACACAGAACTAGTTATTACAAAGTAAGAATGTAAGATGATTCCTTTAGGTGTATGGTAAGCATTTTGGCATGTATTTCTTTTCCTTCTTCCTTTTTGTGTGTTTATTTTTTTTCTAATTTGTCATCAATATTCCAGTTGAACTAATATTCTGCATTTAACAGACGAGCGCAGGGGCTGTCGTCCTAACAGACATTGTGTTTTGGTGTGTTATTGTTCCCTTCTTATCTATTTCTCATTTCAAGCTAAACATGGTAAGTGTAACCCTTCTATAAACAGCCTTTTATTGTTGCCAGTGCACACTTTCCTTTTATATTCCCCTTGTTTCTCTGCAAACAAGTACTAGATTTGCCTCCTTAAGCTGATAGCTAAATCCTTTTGTAGTTTTTACTATTGATTGATTGACTCATGAGTCACATGCTGATTTATCTAGTCTTTGTATATTTCAGTTCCACCCATGTTGGTTCTTCTTATATCACTCAAACAAAGCCTTAGCAATTTGCCTATACTTATGAACAATCGATTATATGATAACTGATCTTTCGAAGTAATGATACCTTCATTGATTTTTGTTGGTCTGCACTTGGCAGTTGATGGGATGCATGCATACCTTGAACGCAGTTTTTCTTCTTTTGGATACAGCTTTGAATAATCTTGTAAGTAACACAGCACAGTAATTAAACTAAGCACACAGTTATGCAATTGTGGTTAGAATTTGCCGTATTCTTTTTCAGCCTTTTCCTTGGTTTAGACTCGCATATTTTGTGCTCTGGAGCTGTGGCTACATAATTTTCCAATGGGTCATTCACGCCTGTGGTTTTACATGGTGAGATATAAATGTATTTTTCATATTCTTTGCATTATCAGCTAAAAGCTTTCTTCATTTTAAGGATCTCTTCTTCCTCTTAACAGGTGGCCATATCCATTTCTCGAGCTAAATACCCCTTGGGCTCCTGTCTGGTAAAATACCACAACACTATAAATGTTATGTCTTCTTCAACTTGCTTTCTATACCAAAAGCTTATTTTCAACAATGCATCTGCTTTATAGGTATCTTTGCTTGGCGGTAATTCACATACCCTGCTATGGCATTTATTCATTAACAGTGAAAGCAAAAAATACGATTCTTCACAAACTGTTCCCTCGTGCACTCTTGAGGTCGTACTAGTTTGGTTGAAAACTTGAAATGGCAGAAAACTAGGAATGGCTTGTTCACATCTCTTGGAAAACAGAAATTTTGGTTCACACACGTTTTTCCCCTGAAAAAAGGTTATTGCAAATGCTTGAAGTTGGACTTAGTACTACAGGAAATTTTTTTGAATGAATTGTAATATCTTGTAAAATGAGAAAATAGTTTTGGAAGAGTTGCTATTGACAAATGGCTGTGCCAAGACACTCCCCAATTTGCCATGTGGTTACTTTCATCGATGTTTCATTTTTCATAATTTTAATATTTTGCACAAGCATTTCTTCCCTTTCTTTTTTGCCATGTCATTTTGAAGAGGTCAATTGAATAAGTAATCAATCAGAAACCAAATCTGTTAGCACTAACCTTTTAAAGGATCCAAAGTAATCAAACTACTTATTTTCTTACTTTTCTTTGCACTTGATTACACAATTACACTTGAACTGGCCAAGGGTATAAACGGCCATACCCAAAGCTAAAAGAATGATTCAAAACAAAAAGGTCAAAGAATGAACCAATCACATTTTTGTCCCCCAAAAAAATTGAAAAGGAAAAAACCAAAGCATATCTTTGCACAAATTAGCTTATGATTCTTAGTAGAAAACTGCAGCTGAAGTTAATTAACGACGCTACAAAGCCTCCTAATCTCACCTTCTGATCCTGTCACCACATCTATGGAACCCATGTGCACCATTGCATTAGCAAACTTCACTGCCCAACTTGAACCATGTTTAGCATTACTTAGCACCATTTGCCTTATTGAACTGCTTCCGAGCAAAGTCTGATCTGAGTTCAACAAACCACGGTGGTTCTTCAGTCCCTTATAGTACTTGTTATCCAAACGGTTAGGCGTGTAAGCATCGAGCACCACCGTTGGGTCTGTACTACCACCATTGCTCCGTGGTGGACACTTGGTTTTCAACAATGTAGCAAACGTAGGGTCCATAGAGGGATCTTGAGAAAAAGTGGCATTGAAAGAGTATAAACGGTCAGAGAAGGAGGAACAATGTGATACACCTATAGAATGTGCTCCTGAAAGTGTCACCATTTCTTCTGCTGACAACCCTTTTCGAGCAAAGTAATTTATAAGTTCCTCAGCATTGAATTTTGGTGATGGCAGATTTTGTCCCACTTCGTCGCTAATAGAGATGCGACCATCTCTACGTCCTGCTGGTACTGCATATTTTAAGCCCCCAAGTTTGCTAGCACTATCTCTAGCAGCAAAAGCAACAATATCTGCACATGACACAGTTTCAGGACACACAGCCTCTATTTGGGACTTAGCATCATCAATAACCTCGAAGCCACGTAAGCTTGGGTAGTTGGCAGGGTGGTCTCTCTCAGATTGGTAACCTGGTGTGGATTCTAATAATACAGAACCATCACAGCCCTGGATGAAATGGACACAAACAATTTCAGATTTGTGTACTAATGAAATGATTGTGTTGAATTTAATATAAGTATGGCAGAAATTACTATGGACATGAACTTACCCTCACAAAGCAATCATGAAAATGCATTCTGATTAAGCCACCAGCGATGCCAGGGTTAAGAGAAATGGCTTTGTTTACAGCTCTTCTCACTATTGCTTCTGCAGATGGACATGTAGTTTTGTAGAAATCAACCTTCAAAGATACTGACGCCAATGAGGAATTAACTGAGAGAATTAGAACCAAGCTAGAGAGCATTATACTCATGTCTAGAGTTTTACCCATTGTTATAATTGCTAAAGGCTCAAATCAACATTTGTGTTTGAGTTTTTTATTAGTATGATGCAGAAAAGTAGTGGCTAGTGAGAGGAGAAGGAAGAAAGTGAGTGATATGCAGGTATGTATGAGGTTGCTAAGGTGGAGGTGGAGAAAACTTGGGCTGGGTGAATATAATTTATAGGTTGGGGAATATGAAAAGATCAATGTGAAGGAGGTGAGAGTAGGTCTTACTTTGGAAACCAAAACGTGTGTAGCTGTGGCTTGCAATATTAGATAGTAGTTGAAGCAATGTTTGCCTTTGAATACTTCTTCTGGCTCCTTTATACTGGCTATGAAATGCACTTTGATGCACTTTGATTATGAAATGGCATTTACAACAAATGTAGGACCTGGTAATTGCAAGCCTCTATGCATTGTTGCTGATACGAATAAATCTATTTCTTATGGAAAGAAAAACACTATTTATTTTAGAAAAATTTAAGAAATTTCTTTTAGCTGAAAAACTAAGGAAGCTCTTTATTAGTAATTTAATTGACCTCAAAATAGGTACAGCTATGTACATCAATACCTTTTGAGCAGGTCTGGATAACAGCATTGCAACGAAAGAGCGTTGAAATTTGTTTGGATACTTGAATTAATCAACCAAGGAAATGGTTGATAATTCAGTTGGATGTGATTACCAGTAGTGGCTCAATTTTTCATTTTTAATCTTTGACTTAGACATCTGTTGAGTGTGATGGAATCGAAAATGCCTAACTAATGAAAGCTGATATTCCTATCAACAGAGAGGTGATAGAGATCTCTGATAAAAGATGGATCAAAACCTCCCATCAAGCAAAATGTGCAAAGCAAGAACAGGCAGATTCCGCCCATAAGTTTGGGCACCTTCCTTGACCAGATCGCTATTTCTTCGTCTTAGGGGGCGTTTGATACGTGGTATTTTTCAAAATTTTCGGAAAACTGAATTTTTTTAAATTTTAAATTTTAAATTTTTGGATATTATCATAAACTAAAGGTAAAAATCATATTTCTGAAAATTGAAATTCTCAAATAAAAAAAAAAAAATCTACTCTACTCGGATATTATCGTTTTAACGATTATTTTCAGAGGTAACTTAGTTATCTTCTAGGCTTAAAACTTAATACAAAATTATGGTTTTTTTATTAAAATTAATGACAAATTATTAAAATTCTATTTTTATCTTTTGGAGATGGGGAATTTTTCATTTTGACTTTTATAATCAAATTATTATAATATTTCTTTTCCAAGGTAAAATTGAAATTAAGAAAAAAAAAATACAAAAGTACACCCTTATTCACCTGCTTTAAAGATAATTATATTTTGAAGATATTTTTACATTGAAAAAGAGGAAGGTAAAGGTGCCAACCTTGAGATATTTAGGTCGCCAAGAAATCATTCAAAATAAACCCAACACATTGTGGCGAAAGTTTCCATGAGTGAGATGAAACAGAAATATGGCAATTGATACCATGTAAAAAATCACTTCAACCCAAAACTTTAAGGTGAGGATCTTTTTAATGATTTATATTATTCTCTAACACACCCCTCACACAAGAGCCCTTGAAGTGTGGATATTACACAGACCCAATTTTTGGTTTACCTTCTTTTTGTGCTTTTATTTATTTATTTAATTCTACAAGTGAGGGGCGGTGAAGATCGAACTCGTGACCTTATGGTCACTGAAGCTCTGATACCATATCAGAAACTAAAGGCTTTCATGACTGGAAATTCTATATATTACTGAATGACGAAAAAGTGTCATAATAATACATCACCTATGTATATATATATATATATATAGGTGCTAAAGAACTCAGCTCTCAAAGCTCAAAGAAAAACTAACTCTAACAATATAGATAACAAACTAACTCTAACAATATAGATAACAAACTAACAAACTAACTCTACCAATATAGATAACAAACTAACTAACTCTAATAACAGAAAACGGTTCTATTCTGTTATGATTAGTTTGATGCATGTATATTGATGAAGCTAAATGAGCTCAAGTTGCATATGGAATTAAATAAGCATAAGGTAAATCAAAAATTGGGCCTATGCAATAATCTACGCTGCAAGCCCAAAGGGCTCTTGCGTGAGGGGGTGTGTTAAAGAATAATATAAACTATTAAAAAGGCTTTCACCTAACACCTTAAGGTTTTGGGTTAAAGTGGTTCTTTACATAGTATCAGATCCTCAGTTTACCGAGTTCGATTCTCACCGCCTCCACTTTCTTTCTAGTGGAATTTCTTTCTTCCCACAGGTAAGTGGGCTTGTGCATGTCCACCCTTCAAGCCCAGTGGGCTCTCGTATGAGAGGACGTGTTGAGATATATAAAATCATTAATGTAGCCTCACCCAACAGCTTAAGCATTGATTCTTTACAGGCTTACAAACTGGTATAGTCATACATAAAATCACGCATTATTGTATTGGCCAGGTTAATCAGAATAGAATAATCAGTTAAAAATTAACACCATACAACAAATTTGTACAAGGGTTCTGATACAAGAAGTACTTCACAATGCCAGTGTTGTTTACAATAGTGTACAGAGTTTAATATTTTACATTATGTACTGAACCGAAGGTTTTCTCCGTGCTATAATACATGTAAAGAAATCCATCCTCATCCTTGAATGATTTATAAACAGAATCCATTAAACTAGCTGCAGATAATCACAAACACAACAAAATTAAGCACAACACCAACAAGAATATGGAACAAGAAGAAGAAGAAAGAAACTATTGGCTTATAGTGCAAGTTTACCAGTTTGAGGTAAGGTATTCTTCACAAATATAAAGAGAGCTTTTCCAGGGGGCAGACGAAGTCTGGAACTCAAAATATGAATGAAATGCCCAACAGACAAATCTCGGGGAACAAGGTATCTATCAGAAACATAACAGTAGTACGTATAAGAGAAATGATAAACTGAGTTATTTGATCTAAATAACGTTAATAGAGATTGCAACACTAGTCTATATTCAACTTCTACTCACTCTATGGACTGAATTTCAGTCATGTAAGCTAAAACACCATACCAAAGGGGAAAAAAGGAAAAGAAAAAAGCCAAAACATAATAATGTTTCAATGGGGGGACTAACCAGGAAACATCTGGGTAATTTCAGGTCCTAAGATTTTATCCGGAAAAAAAAAATGTAGTTTTTATTGATTAACACCCAAAGGGCATTTACGAATGATACTTTCACAACCTGCCTTAACAAATTCATGCAATTGTGCAAGTGATACAAGTCAGTGAAGCTACATGTCTGGGTTGATTAGCTCTATGAAATTAAGAATTCATAAAATATTACTCTCTCTTTCCCTATTTGCGCGTTAATTACTTACATATAGTTTAATGCATTTATGAACTGTAATCATTTATGTTCCTAATTCAATTTATGTGGCTATAGCTATATCCTTTCACATGATTCCAATCATACAGTCAATGATGAAAGGAAAATAGCTAAGTTTATTTGTTGCAAGCAGATCTTACTTTTTCTTGTCCAAATCAGGCAGATCGCATTTCGAATATCTTTCAACAATCACCTGAGGAAGAAGAAGTATCCAAGAATTGAATCATATAATGACCCGCTTATGGAAACGAAAAAAATATGGTTACCGTCATGCTTCTATGCAGTTTAAAGAGCCTCAAGGGAACTATAAGCTCCATGAACAGAAATTAAACAGGGAAATATGAAATTCAATATTGATTAATAAAAGAGATTTGTTTTTTGTTTTTTTTTAATTAATTAAAAAATAGTAGGGGCTTACAGGGACACGATCGGGGTATTTGGCCACAATATCCAGCGATTCTTCGAGTCTTTGCTCTGTGAAAGTAATAACAATAATGATAATAAACTGCAGATTAAATTAGCTAAAAAAACTTGGGACAAGAAATGAAGAATTGAACGCACCGAAGGTAAACTCATCCCTGAAGCTGGAACTTCCCCCCATTCTTAGGTTTTCGTGCTGAATCAACTTGAGAAGATGAAAGACGCTTCCTTCCAGGTACTTCTCTTCTAACTTAAGACATTAACAAATTTGTATTAATTGATAAATAAAATATTGAGCATATACATAACATGCGGGGATAGCTCAGTTGGGAGAGCGTCAGACTGAAGATCTGAAGGTCGCGTGTTCGATCCACGCTCACCGCAATTGTATAATTTTATTTATGTGGGCTTTTAACGAGAGAAAGCTGATGGAACAAATAATTATGAGGACTAAGCCCATTTTTCTGTTCACCTTCCATCCCATGATTCCACTCGTCAACTGTATACAGCTTATCCTCATAGCGGGTGTGGGACAGTCACTAAAATAAATAGAGATGTTAGGTGGCTCTCAGATACTTGTATTATACTCCTCTCTTTTTAATTTTCGTTTAAGGTGTTATATAAGCATTAAAAATTCATTAAATATTCTAATTTTTAAGAAACTATAAGTTACCATTAATACTCTATCATTTAGTGAAAATACTAAGAGATATTTGTAAAATTAAAATAATAATAAAAAATTTTTTTGGTAAACAAATAATAATACTTTTAATGACAAGCAATTTGAAACAAACTAATATTTTTAAAATAATTATTATTTTAAGATGAAAAGAATACTATAAATACACGCAATATTCCTTTAACATGTGAATTACGTTTTAGTAGGTATAGAAGAGGTCTCTGTTTTAAAAAGAAAAATCCATCTAGTATTCACCAATTAGAATAAGGTTTCATAAATATATAGTGCTTATCACATCACAATCTTAATTCTGACGCAAACCCCACCTATCTTTTGACTGCCTTTGCCCTCGTGTATTTAATGTTCCATATTCTTCAAAACGTTGTTCATTCAAAACAAGTTAAAATAAAAAATAAGTTAAAATAAAGGGTTCGCTTTTTCTGCAGTTATTGCATATAAGTTATCTACAATAAACTTAATACAACGTCGTTTTGGGCAGAAATTATGGTATTTTTATAATTTTAAATTATTTCAGGGTTATTATAGTCTTTATAATTATAATTTTTTAATATTTCAATCCCAAAACGACATCATTTTGAGAGTAAATACAGATAACTTATCTGCAGTAACTGCAGAAATATTTTTCTGTGAAATAAATGTCAAGTTGTGCTTTACTTTGTAGATATTTGTTATAATTTTGTCAATATCTATTTGTCTAAAGAGACTGTTAGGGTTGTTTTTGAGGTAAGGAAAATGAATGATTTTCATATTTAACAAATTTATCATGTGAACAATGAGGGGAATCTTGGCAAAAATAGAGTTCGGAAATCTGAGGTAATGCGATTCTGTTCAGAGTTGTGAAGCTCAATTCTTAAGGGGTACTTGGTAAAGGAAAAAAAAATTATATTTGGAAATTACGATTATCAAGAATATATGGGAAAGTAAATTTTAGAGAAATGTGATCAAAAAGTTGTTTGGTAGTGTTCAGTACGAACATTAAAAGGTTAAGTTGGTTTGATAGTGCTTATCCTTTATCTGACCTTAATCTTCCCCTTTATATATGTTATATTAACGGTTATTATTAGTGGATATGGGGCAGTTAGTAACTTGGCAATTATAATGATCATGGTCTATCATCGTATAGGTGGAAAGAAACATAGATTAGAGCCATACTCTGGGCTCCATTTCAACATTCCGAAAATGGCCCACGATTTGGGCTCCGAGCATACGAGTTCATAACCCACTAGGTTATCAACACATGGAATTCCCAGTTATGCCTAAATAGGCCCATCCGAGTTACAAACCCGAAACATTAAGCCCCCTAACTCAGAATATTATGTAAGAAATACGCCGAGTTGCCAATATGAGTGTCTTATCTTTATAGCTCGGATTCAGAGAGCAGTCCTATCATTAAATGCTACCTGCTATTATATGTTACATCTACCACATGTCCTCTTTTGTCTGATCTCAGTTTTATCAAGCGGCGCGATATGACATCTTTTCAATCATTTCTACATTTCAAAATTTGAAATGGCAATACTTACTACGCATGTTTCTTCTGTTAAACTTCCCCTTTCTCTTTCTTTGTATTCTTCTTCTCTTCTTTATCGTTTCCTCTTTTTGTTCTTTCTTTCCTTCTATCCATACATCTGCTTTCATTTTCGCCAAAGTATCCTGTCTGCATTTCAAGAATCGTTTCGCTTTATAATAGGTAAGTTCACTCGCTTTCCTTTACTCACTCTTCAGTCTCTATTGTGCATACTTGTTATTCTTCTGGTATTTTGCCTTGCTGCTATCTATATTTTTGATATAATGAAGCCTTACAGTACTTCAAAGGACATCTTGAATACAGAAGACGTTTTAGATCAATTAGATACCTTCACTTTGCGCGAAAACTACGCTTCTGGTACTAAAAGTTTTAGCTTTCACAGAGCCCATTTGTTTCCTTTGCCGGGTTCAAGAAGAATTAGAATATCTTTGCATCCTCGGCCAACTTTTGATACTACATTATCTTTTGATTCAGTTTTCGAGTTAGAGTCTAACCGTGCCTTTCCTTCTAGGCACATGCCGATGAATCGTCCATACCGCTCGCTTGCCACTTCTCCTTTTGCTCTTTTACCTAACTTGGCGGGCTTAGAATGGGTGGATGAAGAAGCTTTAGGACTTCGTTCATCTTATGAAAATGATCTGGTTGCCTTGCAGTCTGTATTACACCCATTACCTCTATCTCTTGACCCAATGATTACTTTTTTCCGAGTTGAAGTCCCTACGAGTACGAAAGAATCTGTTCTCCCTCCGAGCAAGGTGATAATGCTTTCTTCTTTGTGTATAAATGCTTATTCTCATAACTTAAAATCCTACTACCTTTTACTGATTTCCAAATTAAAGTTATGCATTATCTGGATGTTGCTGCTTCTCAACTTCATCCTAACGGGTAGTGTTTTTTTAAGTATTTTTGAACTAATTTGCCAGGCATATGAGTTCACCTATTCTACCCGGGTGTTATTATGTCTTTTTGCGGTGTTCCGTAACGCCATTGAGAACGGGAGCATCCGCCATAGTTGAGTTTCTTTAAAAGCTCGGCTTGGATTGAAATGGTGTACCACATTTGAAGATAACTGGAAAAACTTTAAGGAAGATTACTTCAAAATTTGCACTCCTGAAGCTCTCCCTTCTACTCCATCTGCTTCTTCGTCGTCTTCTCAAAATGCCACACTTTCGGCCTTCTTTTTAGATCAAGACGGACTTCCTCGGTTCCTTTTATCTTGGAACCGAGCTCATTATACTCCTTCAGCCCACGTGTTCTTACATAATCCAAAGAATTTATCACACGAGTTCGAAACTTATGATTGGTTTAGAAGTTTAGCCCGTCAATTGACGAAGGAAAACACCTCTACTGCTCCTCGACCAATTCTAGAAAATGGGCATTCATTGGAATGGGTTCGAAGAAAATTTAGTAAGTAAATATTAATATACTGTGTAAAGCCAGTATTCAACATGTAATTTCTAACTCTCTTCTGTTTTTCAGACAAAATAATGGATTCACGCTTTTTTGCTTGTATGAAGAAAAGTGCTATCGTGAAAGGGACTACGGTGGAAACTCCTTCTGTTTATGTTGAAAATAACTCTTCTTCCACCATTCCGTCTACATTTGCTACGGGTTCTGCCCCCATCAATACTGTCTTAATTTATGTGGATACCCAAGTTGATTCTGGCGACATCCGCCAAGGAAAACGTGTCCGGGTAAATGAACCAAAAAAGGACAAAAGCGCTGCAGTTGACAATCTCTCACGTCGTCGACTTCTCTTAGCCCTCTACGTATTAAACCGCAAGAAAGCAAAAGATTTATTTTTTCTAAAAGAAAACATTTTTTTGGTGGGTACATATTCTAAAAGAAAACTTGGCATTCCTTTTAGACAGTTCTAAAACACAGGTGAACATGATAAGTTAGGTCAATGTAGATTGAAACATATACATTATTTACATTACTCAAAGAGGATTTAGCTCTTCAAAGTGAGTAGTAGACTTCGAAAAATAAAATGCAAAGCTATTAGCCTATTACAATTAATTACAAAATCTACATAATAAGCTTTAATTATTTTATAATTTGTTGTTAGTGTAACATTTTATCCCAATATAAACCATTAAATTTTTATTTATTTTTTGGAAACAACATTAAATTTTTCAATTGACAGTTATTACTCCATGTTTTTTCTTCTAAAGTGCACCTCTTTCTTTGATCAAATATTGTATTCAAAATATCTTATATTAAAATATTTGTAAGAAAGTTTTTGTATTAATTTTTTTTATAGTTTAAACAAATTCAAACATGTACAAAATTTGACATTTACAATTTCAATTTAATTATCATTCAAATTAGCTCATCATAAGACAAAACTGAAAATTCATCAAGAACGTAAATTAACTAGTACGAAATTGTTACAACTTAACTAGTGATTTTGAATTTGAATTTTGAGTACACAATTTTATTAAAAAATTTAGTAAAAAGAGCTTTTATTGATATAAGTAAAAATTGAAAATAACCTAATACAAACTATCTAAACTTCTCACCACTAAAACAATCCTAGTGGCTTAGGGTGTGTTCTCTAGCACTGTTTCTGAAAAGAAACAATTCTTTTCTATTTCTGTGCCTTGGAACAATTTCTGAGAAAAAAAATGTGTTTGATAACATGTTCTATTTTTATTCTGAGAACGAGAATTGTGTTTGATAACACAACAAATAATATAATAAAAAATAATTTCTATTAAATATAAAAAAATTTGGATCATCACTTTCCACTACCAAAAAAGTGGTGTTTAGCCACGTTTAGTAACATGGCTAATTGGCTAAACAAATGTGGCTAAATAAAGATACCACACTTTTGATAAATGTGGCCAATCATGGCGTTGCAATATTTTAGCAACGTTTATTGTTTTGTATAACCACACTCTCTATGAATGTGGTAACATTTATTTAGCCACATTTATAGTAATTTAGCCACTCAATAAATCGTAGCTAATAATTGTAAAAGAAAGTGTAATATCCTTATTTAGGCACATTTTAACCGTGGCTAATATAATGTTATTTTTTAAAAAAAATTATAGCCAAACGTGGCTATTTTTTTAATATGTTAATGTTGTTTAACTGTGTAACCTGTAAAACCAAACTTCAAATTGAATTTGCATGCTGTCAATTTTTTCTCATAAATAAAAATAAGATCCATAAATTTTACTTTGTTATAATCTAAATAGATTAACCTTGTATAGATTTGCACCAAGATGTAAAACCTCTTCATATGAGGGAGGAAAGGTAAGGTGTTCACATAGGTGATGAATCCAGGAGCCTGGGTATAAGCCCAGTAAGAAAATAACAATTTACATTGTACACCATGATAAACTCAGAAATATATACATTTGTTTCCACTATACTGTTTCGAAGATTATCATTGCAAAATAATTAGTGTACAGAGAAGAATTATCACTTGGCTGGTCGGTTAAAAGAACATTTCCATGTTGACGATTCAAACTTAAATAATAACACGCTTCTTTGAAGCAACAACACAAAATAATTTTTTGTTCTACATCTTACGAACACGTTCAACCTCTAGTAAGACAACTGAACATATCAATTCATCAACTGCTACAAGAGTTTAGACCAGCTCCTCATTATGTCCACCAAAAGACTACAAAATAAAAACTAAACCATACGTTACCAGACTTCTGTACATTAACCATGTAATTGAAAGAAATCAGTGTTAGACATTTGACGTTTTGAAGCAAATTGTACTATAACCAGCTTCTTTATCTGTCACCTACATTTCAATACAGCATATAATCCTTAGCCTTAAGATTTTAAACAAAAATAAGTTGCAAATAAATATAACCTGTGAACTTTGAAGCATAAGAGCCGGCTGTTGCTTTCGAAACTGAGTTGGAATTTGGAAGTTTACCTAAATAAACAAAACTCTCAAAACTTTGGTCAATCGTAAACATAGATAACTAGGGCCTATGACATGAAGAAAAAAGATTAATACAAGATATCGACATCAGCCTTAGAACATATAACTATTGGGAAGACTAAATTCAACCATACAAGTACAACATCATGTGTAATTACTCTAAACATCAAGGAAATGAGTGTACTTTACTCAATCTTTTCTCTTTTGGCAAGTCCTGTGACTTCTATCAAATTAAGGGAAAAGATACAAACAATAGAGTTCTACCAACCTAGTCACATACTAACTATATTTTTAACTGACAGTAAGTTATCACGTAAGTTACAACAAGTAAATAATGCGATAAACTCCACGGGGAAAACATATTAATCAATTTCCAACAACAAGCTTCTATCACAATAAATACACAAACATCAAGTATTGAGTAAAGAGTGTCATATATTACTAGGAATGTGCATACTCCAGATGCAGAAAGAAAACTACCCTTTCTGCAAAAGACCTAGAAACAGAGAAATCAGAAATTAGCAATTAATATTAAAGCCAAGTAATCCTAGAAATTTGAGAATAAGTGTCAAGGGCAGATACAGGATTGGCTTCAACTGGCCTTCCAAGTTGATAGGCCAATGCTTCAATTCCCTGTAGCAGAGCAACTGCAGTCAGATAATGTGTTTGATCAAGTAAAAGGTCAATTATATCCATTAAACAGAGTATAATCAAAAATTCAGATATGTGCTATCTAAATATGGTGCCCTTCGATCTTAATAGATGTTAATTCAGATATAATGAAAAATTTAAAAATAAAAAAATAGGGGTTTTGTCCTATCTAAGTATGGTGCCCTTCAATCTTCGCGTCCACAAGTCTATCACTTGAAGAAACTACTCTACACTCCCTCAATTGTTTCTTATAATAATACTATTTCATTGCTTAATCAACTCGTAACCAGTGAACCTACTAATCATCTCACTCGTGCTTTCTTATTAACATACCACATGTGATTTTCAGTGGCAATTTCAAAGAGACCAAAAGGCAATACTTAAATAAAACACATAACATAATTATACTTTGTGGCTCTCAATCTTGCAGAACCTATGTGCCCCCTATTTGACTTGGAAAGTTGAAAATTGAGCTCGTGGCATATTGCAAATTACTATTATCTCTAGTATACAGAAGCCCGCATGAGGGAACAATAATAAGCTACTTCAGTTTGTTCCGTCAACAACAATGCTGATTGAAATGAGACTAATTGACTATATATATATATATAAAAGAATATCTTTGCCATCATCTATAACGTCATTAGTTAATTAAAATAATAATAAAATCATTTTTCTATTATAAATATAATAATATATACATATATACTAGAAGTTGGATGAATTTGTCGAGAGCTACTTCCTGGCATCACTGCACATATAAATGATTCAACATCACTTTGAATTTTGGCCAAGTCCTTCTTCCCACCATAGAATTCCTGGACAGAGAGTAGATAAATGAGTTATTCCTTCGAACTTAGGATAACTATAAGGCCATACATTATTAAGGCAGATACTCATTATGAAATAATAAGAACTGGTGATTCCGTGTAAAATAATGTGGTTCTTTGTTCCTTTATGGTAAATCTTCCTTTTCTTTTTTTGTAGTTTAGTAAGACAACTCAAAAAATGCAGTTATTTAATAAAGGAAAAAAGAAAAAACAAATAAGCATTAATATATATGAGATCAGGGAAAGAGAATAAAAAGTTGCATACCAACACACTAGAAGACTGTTCACTTGGTCTTAATAAAAAGTTGCTTTAATATATTGACAGACACTACTTCCTTTAAAGGTAAAGAAAGCCCCTTTCTTTGCATCATCAACATCACCGTTTTCATCACCCACATCATAACATATAATCCTTCCCTCTTTCGCCGATGACCGGAGCTCATCTGAATATCGGAGCTGCATAAAATGAACAGTTTCATATAAATAAGGCTAATTTAAAATCATTGCCCTTTAACTTTGAAATCTCAATGCATATTTTGTTTGTTTGTTTACAATGGTTACATAACCTAATACAAATTAAGATTAAGCATTGTATTTTAAAAGTTAAAATAGTAAAATAAAATCAAAATAAAAATAAAAAACAAGCAGGAGATAGTAAAATAACAAAGAGGCATCGAGTTCCATGTAGACAACCCAGGTTCAGGGTCCAGAACAATGAGTATTAAGTATTGCTTTTATATAAAGCTCACTCTTAAACTTTTCACCTCTGTGTAGTCTTTACATTAACAACAAGCTTTTTATTAACCAGAAAAACACAGAAATTTGGAATGGTAGAAGGTGACCTGCTATTCAATCACAAAAAGCAATACCTCTATGGCATTCATGGTGGAATTCACTAGGGTTGGCAGTGCTCTGGTTCCAATATATGCATCCCCTTCAACATACAAATGCTCAAATCGTACTTCTTTGGAATCTCTATAGCCCCCCTAATCAACAAAAAACTTGATAATCAAAAGGTTTTGGATTAGAAATTACTAAAATCAGAAACATGAGTAAAATCCGAAACTAACAGTAAAATAATCTTTAGATTTGGGGTATGTGTGCACCATAGCAGAGGCTTTTGATAAGACTCCCCAGTCGCTTTAACCTCAGCGCCAACCACATGACCGAAGCCATAGCTGAAATCTAATAAAAAAAAAAATAGATCTACACGAAAACAAAATCAGAGAAAAATGAAAATCGGGGATACCTAAGGGGTTTTGTGAAATCGAAACGAAACCAGAAAAAGAAAAAAAAATCAAAAAATAGAATAAGGATAATATCATAAGCAATAGATCTAAAGAGCGCGGAGAAGAAAAAACAACAAATAGAAGCTACAAAATTTTCAGATCTAGAAATTTTGTGAAATGAAGTGAGCATTAATGTTTTTACCATGACTAAATAAAAAGGATTTTAAAAATGCAAAATGATGAGAGAGAGAAACACCTCACTACAACGCTACACTTGTTTTTAAAATTTTTGTGAGACTCTTTTTTATTTTTTCCTTTTGTGGTGAGCGTAATAAATTAAATTTGATTTTTTTATTTTAAATTACCACATTTATTTTAAATGTCCCGAAACTACTGTACCTAATTAGCGAATTTTTTGTAGTGTTCCTTTCATATGGTGTGGTTGTGGTGGTGGTGGTGGCGGCGACGGTACAATAGTGGTGGTGGCAGTGACGTGGTGAAGATAGTGGTGGTGGTTGTGACGGCAGTGGCTGCGGCAATGGCGGTGATAATGGTGGCGGCGGCGGTAGTGGTGGGAATAGTGGTGGTGGAGGTGACAGCAGTGGCTGCGACAATGGTGGTGGGTATGGTGGTTGGTGGCGGCAACAGTGGTAACAGTGGCATGGTGGTGGTGGTTGTAAAGGCATCATGGTGGTGGCGGTGGTGGTGATGGCGGTGGTAGTGGCGGGGGTGGTGTAATGGTGGCGGTGGCGGTGGTGATGATAATGGCTGTGACGATGGTGGTGGTGGTTGGTGGCGGCGGCAGCGACGACGGCGGTAGTGACGGTAGTGGCTGTAGCAATGATAGTGTTGGTTGGTGACAGTGGTGGTGGTTGATGGCGGTAGTGGTGGTGACGATGATAGTGGTGGTGGCGGTGGTAGTTGTGGTGGTGGTGACGGTGGCATGGTGGTAAAAATGGGTAGAGGTGGTGGTAATGGTGGCGGTGGCATCGTGGTGGTGACGACGACACTAGTGGTACGATGGTGGCGACAGTCGTGTCGGGATGATGGTGCTAGTGGTGATGATGGTAGAGGTGGAGAGTGATTGAGAGAGATAAATGTTTCTTATTTTGTGCCCGAGAACAAAAAAACAGAAATATTTTGATTCTTTTTTCTGTTCTCCAGCATAAAAATTAAACTGGTTCATCCCGGGAACAAAAAATTAAACCAGTTTTACCAAACGAGTTTCCTATTCATTTCTGTTCCCGGAAACAGAAATTGAAAAAGAATTGATTCCAGAAAAGTTATCATGCACATCCTTAATATAAAGAACTTTGTTGCGTTTGCAAACTTGCCTAGTTCAACCAAATTAATCGATAAATTGCCATAATTTAAGAAAAATATTACATTTAAATATTACACTTAAATGGTACATTTTGAAGATTCCATTCAAGTATTACACTTAAATATGAAGGATCCTACCAAATAGTGTCTGAAGAAGAGTTACATCCGCATACATTGTACAATGAAGACCATTGAAGGATAACAAATATGTAAAAAATATTGCACAACTTAGCCAATACAAAGAACCAGTCCTACAGGAAATCTCAGTCATTCGGTCTATGAACGCATCCTTATATTACCTATCAAGTTTTATTTCGTTGCTAGTTAAGGAACCTTAGCTTGTTCCAAAATCCAAAGATTCCCATCTGAAGGGTCGGAACATATATTGGACAGTGGGTGATGTTTTGAACAGAAGGGCCACACAGACACAGACTGCTGCTATGGCCACCATTGAGAGCATTGCAGGCCTGTATACCAAAGACCTGCCTACTGCAGTTCTACAAGAAATTTTAGTATCACAAAGTTTACAGTGCCCTTGGCCACGTCTTTCTTCAGCCTTCGCAATCTCGAAGCAGGTGGACAACTCATTTTGCTTCTGCTTTGCATTGCACTCTGTAAGATTGCTGGGAATCTCAACCACCACATGAGCTGCTCCTTGTCTCTTGTTAATTTTTTTCTGCACCAAGTGAATGTAAGTATAATGACCCCGTAAACGTGCATAATCCTCAGGTGTGGAGCCTGTGCTGTCACGAGCATTCTTCCATGCCTCAATTCCCACCTGCATTAAAAGTCCCATGTTACTTTTTGGAGCAATAACCTGAACACACGATGCTCCAAATTTCCAACCAGAGAAAGAATAGGAAAATGATTTTGATGCATAGAATAGGAAAATGATTTTGATGCATCACTTTCTTTTCTTCCTACATCTACAAGAGGGGGTGGGGGCTTCATCATTCAGCTCATTCACACAATACCCAGTACTATATTAGACATGTGAGTAGTTTGGTATTCACAGTGAAGTTAGACTACATTAGAAACAGGAGTAGTTTGGTACGTCAACCAGCGATACACATTGTTAGTATCTGGATAACACAGATTGATTAGATTTACACCCAATAAAAATTTAAAAACAATTAAACTAACGGTAGGGTGACAAGAATTCAAATAATTGTAACAGTTAAACGTAAAATTCAGATATGATGACCCACAAAATGTGCAATAACTAAAAGTACCAATGAATGTCCAAATAAAACCTAGAAGAAATCTCTCCAACATATCAAAAGAAATATATTCTCACACTGATTTAATTTAAGATAGAAGAAATTTTACCATGGAAGGATCATTAGTTAAAGCGTCCAGTACATCCTCAGAACCATCTTTCCCAGCTGCAATATGGACTGGTGTCAAACCACCAGGACCAACAACATCAGGTCTAAACAAGAAGCTCTGATTCTCTCCATCAACTAGTGGCTTGTCTTCAGTTCCTAGTCTATCGGAAATATTCTCAGGAACATATCCCAAAAGCAGCTCCACTAACTGCTTGCTATTTCTCCTTACAGCTCTGTGAAGGAGACCCATCTCTGAAAGTGCAACATCCAGGGAAGGGTGATCTCCGGTATTCACAGTTCCAGCAAGCAGTAAGTTCAACAGTTTTTTTACTACTGCACACCAATCACGGTCCATAGAAAACTCCATAAGCCACTTAAACCGTTCTAATGGAAAGAGATCAGCACTTGCGTTCAAGTGAACCATCCTAGATTTCAATTGGCTTCTGTGAAGAAGCCAACCCATTTCATGAATGAAATCCATGGCTTGACTTTTGGCTTTAATTTTTCCAGTTCCTTCAATATCTGGATCAGTTTCACTTAATTCTAGTAGGGACTCGAGCACGCAGATTTCTGAGCAAACATCCTCCTCCACAACTATGAAAGGAAAGAAGCTGCTACTCAAACCCTGGTCCTCAATCTAGCAAATCAAAAATATATGTATATAAAGCTCAGCCACATAGCATTAGTACATGATTGCTTATCTTCAGTTAAAAATATGGCAAACTAGTAAATGGGTGCATTTATATGACAGTAAGAATCGGATGACACAACTTATGAGTTAGAACACTGCTAAAACTCAACAGTAACCAGTGTGCATGAAAGTGTACAATAAGAGTAAAAATGGGGTGGTAGAGGAATTTGCCTATCCCCTTCATTGAATAACAACTAGCCTGTATTCCCTTCCTACTTTTTTCTGTTGATAATATGTGAGAGTGAAGAGAAAGCACCTCAATAAATCCTCTTCCATTCATCTCAGGGACAGAACATGAAAACTGGATGCATTGATGTTCATCAAGCTCCTTGGAGTATTGATCTGTTGACTCGTGAGCATCTTCACAGACCAGATATTTCCCTTCCAAAGCACACATTAACCTGAGGGTAGGTTTTAGGGTCATATAACATTTTAACTTTTAAGCCAACAAAAAAAAAAAAAAAACACATATTTAAACAAAATCCTGGAACTTAAAGAGTAGGGCCAAGTCTCTTTTGAAGTTTGTGTTTAACTACGAACATGCAAAGGATAGACAATTCAAGCAATAGAGATTACCTAGTGGCAGGGCGTATCAGGTTGACCCCCTTAACAGAAAATTGAGCTCTCTTTGATGCTGGTACGGCAATTGGACTAACAGTCAAAATCTTACTATAATGGTTCCTTCTGAAAGGTAGGGATGTATCTATGACAACTTGACCTACAGCATAAAAATTGCAGTAAGATGCCTATCATATAAATAAATATTACTAATCCTGAATAATTTAGTAACTTGATACACAAACCATAGTAACAATAACAACAATGTAGACTGTAGACAACACTAGAAGCCCAATAAAATTATATCAATGCTCAATGCAGTTCACCAAAGTTATGTATGTAGCTAAGACACAAATTAGACGTAGATACAAATCTTTAATATAGACAACTTGTCACAACAAGGACTTCAGACTTTTAAACAGATAATGTACTTATTCGACAGAACTCAATTTATTAATGATACTGAAAGAAATTTCTGACTCCTGTTATCTTGACCCCTAATAACAACAACAACAGAGACATGGCAAGAGACCATTGAGAATGAAGGCCATCTGATGCTGCACCCTGATGTGAACCCATCCAGTTCTCCAAAAAGTATCATCTGAGACATCCAACAGCCTATTTAAACTGGAGGTCAGATCGTAGCAAAGCTGCAAAAAACCAACCAAGTCATATAAGGCAAGAGTGTCCCTGTTAACAGAAATAACCACCCAGGTACACATGCTAATAGTTTTAGAAGGAAAAAACTTACTTCCTCCCACACAGCCTCAGCCTGACGCAGATAAAGGGTCAAAACAATACAACCAGGTCGTATGTAGCTCTCAATATCGGTAGGACTGTGGGATAACCAGTCAATAATCTAGCAATAAAACCCCCAGTGTGATTAAATCTCAAAAGAAAAATGAAAGGCAGTTACTCTCAGCTGCTTTAGAAAGCTTAAAATACCTGTGCTCTAAGTAAAAGTGGAAAATCATTCGGATCTTTGCCGAAGAGTTTAAAAACAATTCGATCTGTGCGACTCTGAATGGTGGAAACAAAAAAATAACAGTTAAATGACAACAATCTCAAAATAGATAACAAATTTAATGTAAAAAAAAAAATCCATTTCTCAATAACCTAGGCAAGAAAAAGGGAAATAATTACCAATATTTATTGAATTATTCTTTTTTGTGTTTCAATTTTTCTTTTGGGGAAGGGCATGAGAGATAGTACCATAATGAGATTTACAAGAAGGCATAGAGTAAGCAGTTGTAATAAACAATATTTTTTCCAGCAACCTAAACAAGCAGTACGTTGGACACCTAAGGAAGGCCCAACATTGTCTTTCTCACCGCCATAACTACAGGGTGCTCCAACATCATATAACATACTAAAGTCAGGTGAATGCTTACATAGCAGAGAAAAGGCCAAATCCAGACATGCTATTTAAACCAGGATTTGTGCAGGTGTATGCATTACTATACAGTACAAAGAAGGACGGCATACTATGAAGTAGCATAAACACATACAGAGTTATCATGTAAGAACAAGAATGATCAAGATACTTCTCAGTTCTCACTAGGTCTCAAAACCTCCCTTCAAACAAATTCAAAAAAAAAAAAAATTGAAATAAAAAATAATAAAACTCTCAGAATTCAACCCCCCCTCTTCTAAAACACCAACATCCATTCTTCAAATATTCCTCAGAAATCAAGTAAATAAGCCAATCAAAGGCCCTGGGCCATATTACTTCTTGGTTACTTGCAGAGAACAATTAACGAAGCAGTTATAATCATACCACCAAGCTGGCACAGCATGTCATGACAGCACCAAAATGTTCAAGAACCAAGACCACACACTAACTTAAGCATAACAAACTTACGGGGTAATTTCTGCAAAACACCATTAATTTCTAATTTTCTATAGGAAGTCACATAATCTGAATCATGGGAACGAGTTGTTCGCTTGCATTTGAGTGCAAGGACAGTATAAAAGGGCATAAGAAGAATAGCTACTTCAAAATAATGTAGCAAGACAAACATACCTGAGCTTCTCCACTGGAACTAGAAGGGGACTGCGCAGATGCAGAATCTGAATTTCCACTCGTTTGAGGTGGACTTGACTGATGAGAATCTTGTTGTGTCCATGGGTAATCAAGAGAGCTAGTCCCAAGATTTGTAGAGACAGGCAATCTTTCTATATCTTCCATGCCATCATCTGAGTCAATATATATGTCATTCAAATCAAAATTATTCATCTTGATCTGTCCAGTAGTACTGTCTCTGGCTTCTGAGTAAATAGGAGGACTGTTTGAAATGCTGGGCTTTATAGAAGACATGGTTTGCTGATCAGCAGCCCTAGCATCATGTGTCTGCATCACTTGTTGCATTTTAGTCATAGATACAGTTTGATGTTGTCTTATAACAGTTGGAGAGCCTTGAGAACCATTGGAGAATAAAGTTGAAACCATCTCTGACGTCCTAGATGAACCCCCTTCTTTCAATAAATTCTCTGGTTCCCGCAAAAGGTTAGACAAGTTCTTCCCCCCTTGTTCACTATTCTGCCTAGCAAGGTTCCTTAGAAGATGAGTTAGTAGATCCTGATCTGTAGTCTGATCTGACCTGTCAGCTATAATTCATTAAAAAGTCATTATCCGTCCCCAAAAAGCCACAGTCGTAGCAGAAATACTAATCAAAGAAACAGATATGAAAAGATTCTTAATAAGCAAACACAATTAGATGTCATTAATTATCCCAAATGTCATCCTCCCCATATGCTGTAATAAATAAGTGCCTCATTGCTATGAAAATAATTAGTCTCATAAGCTCATAACATCAATATGATTGACATTTTTACATAAGCAAAATATTTTCAGATACCTAAAGTTGATTGTATGCCCATTACTGAAACATACTTATTCTCCAATGGAGGAGAACAAAAATTATTATAGAGTCTTGTATCTTTATCATTTTCAAACTGTCCACTAATATTGTAACCCCCATATCCTCCTTTAGAGGCCAATCATTGATCTCTCAGGCCAACTTAATAAAGAGATGAACATAACTCATGTTAGCTTTAGACAACTTCAAGAATAAGATGGATTTATAAATGGATATCATCAAAGTTCCTCATAAATCTTATGTTTAATTGGCATATGCACTGGCATCAGATTATTCTATGTATTCACAATATCAAACAGCCACAAATTATTTGACAAAACAACTTATTCTCAATTTACCACTACGATTTTCCATTGTGCTTTGAAGGCATGTGCAACTAGTTAGTCAGTTGTTAAAATAATAAAAAAGACCTAAAACCTAAATGCCTGGTGAAAGAAAGATACCAATTTAGAAAGGCACCAACTTAGATTTTTTTTTTTTTTTTTCTGTTCAGCAAAATTGAGAGAAATGAAAGGTAATCATGCTTGACCAGCAATTAGAACACTAAGAAATTGATTTCATATGCTAAAAGTACATGTTAGAAGTGAGTAGCATAAGTAATGCTTCATCACAACTTTCCAAGGTGCAGCAAGTTTACTTGAGTTTGAAATTCAATGATGAGGGTCCACTCTTAGGATTTTGTGGGAGTTTACTAACTAGATAGTATATCTTATTGCCACAACTTAAGAATATTTATTCCATGTTTTGTTTGTCAACTACGTACAGACGCTTATTAGTGGAAACTAACCTTGAGAAAAGAGCTCACTAGGTTAAAGTTGACAAACACACAAAAACCAAGGTCAGATTTTCCTTGCTCTCTTCTAACCTGTTAGATCCAGCTTCTTCCTTTTGAAAACTAAAAAATCCTATATCTCAACCATTCTAGCCATCTCGTAGTTCTTAAAGCTCAACAATCATTCCCTACAATAGCAGCAAGGATGAAAATAATTTAATACTACCTTCTTGTGCATATCCTGTTTTCCATCCGGCACATTATTTTCCATAGAAATTAAGTGAACAACCTAAACTAAAATAGAAACTTGAGGAAAAGGATAATTTCCTCCATGCATTTTTCTGCCAAAACAAGTGTTGGCCTAGTTAGAACTGATTCTATATGGAAGTCCATACCAATAACTGGACCTACAGGTTTATACCTTAAGTAAGAAACCTTTCTTCCATAGTTAACATGTCTAGCCTGACAAAATACAGCTTTCAAAACCATATTTGCAACTGATCAAACCACTTTCCTTCAGCTATTAACATAGCAGTTATGGATGGGAAGGAATAGTTTAAATTAATACCATGCCTTTCATCATTTCAAACAACAGAAACAGGCATCAATCAATGCCATATAAAATAATCAAGCAGTTCGTACATTAAACCAACTACTCTAGGCTCGAGTTGCGAAGATAATGATTTAAAGAAATACTCACAATGCATATTTGAAAGTATCTTCAATAAACTTATCAACAGATAACTACTAGTCTGATCATCATTTAGTGAAGTTCCATTAGGAACAACTTCATGATTTGTTTTCCTTCTTCGTTTATTATGGCCTGCCAAGCGTCTTCGACAGCTTCTCTTTCCTTCATCGAACTCTTGAAGCATGTGAAACCTGTTGATAGAGTAAAAGAATGTCATGAAATGGAGTGATTTAAAACTTAAATGCTTGCATCAAAATAAATAACAAATGATGGCACAAAGACTGTTAAATAAAATCAATGATATTCTGAGGCCTTCATCAGTGATCTGTTAAATCTTGGTATCTAGGCTATTGAAAAATTTATTATGCCCACCACTTATTCAGTGGTCTCTTTCCCATAAATGGAAAATTTTATTCCATTTCTATCACTCCCTTTTTGATTTTTTCCCTCTCAATCCCTCTCCTTTTTCTATTGTGGGAAGGGACTACCATGTTCCAAGCCCACCAAAAAACATCTCCTAGGTTATAACTAGTGCCACTATCACAGGCAATCGCGCTATAGATGCACGTAGCGTCCTCCCACCGCAATTTCCACTATGCAACACAATGATATGCAATGGCGGCCGCAATCATACTGCTATAGTGAAGGAAGGACAAATTCCATATTTGCCCCTATGTAACTCGGGGATATAATTGACTTTTGACTTTTTTTTCTAATAATGTGATCATTCGAAATTTCAAACCCTATTTCTCGACTCCTTCCTCTCTTGATTCACTTTCTGGCAAGCCCATCACAATTTCATTATTTTTTTTGGCAAGCTCACCCCAGTTTGCCTGTGTTTGCGGTTCCACAGTGCCTCTGTTTTGTTCACCTTGGTTTTCTGGCAAGTTTGCCTCACTGCACTGCAGCGGCTATACCGCTATCCGCTATATCGTTATAGTATTTTTGGGGTTACCTAACTATGTTTGGTATTGTACTCAATACCATTTATTTCCTTCATACACATACGCAAATATGTAAAACAAATTCCTAACTGATCAACGACAGCAAAAATTAAAAGCAATGAATGGAGAAATTACCTACTACATTGTTGACAGAACCTCTGCATTGCATTTCCCACGAGCGCCCTACTTGCCTTAGAATGCATCTCACAAACTTTATGACGTCTGTGGTAATCCTTAGCTTTGCTCAGATCCGCACCACAGTCCTCCACTTGACAAACAGCTCGATTCGAAGTACCTCCAGCTACTCTGCTCTTCTTCCCATTCATACCATCCCAGCTAGCAATCTCCCTATCCACCATAGGAGAACCATGCCCACCAAGCTTTAAGCTAAGGGTACCTGCTTCCTCATTCAAACCATCATCTTCCAACACAATAACTCTCCTTTTCTTCTCCCCTTCCTTGTTCCCGTTGGGATTCCTAAGATCTACTTCCTCAGAGCAGGAAGAAGAGCTGTTAGAGGAACCCCCAGCCACCGGGATCCCGGACCCAAGAGGGAAAAATTGTTGTCCCACTCCCACACCATCTGAAGCCACCGGATTCACCCGGCTAGCTATGAAAAGATCACCATCCCATCTCCAATCATTCAAATCCCATTCTGAAGACCTCTTCCCCATACCTGAGGAAGCACCCACACCATAAAAATGATAAGCCTCTGCACCAAATCTAGCTTCCATGATCACAATCACGAACCCCCAATCCTAATCCAAATACTCCTAAACACAATTAATTATATCTAAATTAAGTCACAGCACGGAATCACAGTTCATGAGCCTCAGTTCATCCCCAACAGTCCAGAAACAACACACCCACGCAACCATGGTTCCAATTAAGCGCAACCCACATAGCCAAGTAAAACCAACTAACTACCAACCCTTCCAATTTCCCAAGTCATCTACTCAAAAAGAAAACCCAGCTGAGCTCAAGTACCGAGAAAGAAGCTCTTCCTTCCTATATAAAATTAAAAATTAGTAAGAAAAAAAATGAGGAAGAAAAAAAAAAACACAAAAATTCAACAACAAACTGATGATAAAGTGGAGATAAACATCGTACAGAGCGAGGCTTACGTCAGAGGATTGTTGTTAGAAGCAAAGCAGATCGACGGCGAGTGAATGTCGGAAAGTGCGCCACGCAAATGGCCAACAGGTTCTGTGGACTGAAACGGAGTTGTTAGAACGATGATGATGACGGTGATGTGAATGTGAATTTGATTGGCTTTTCAATTTTTTTTATTTTTTTTTATTTTCTCGTGAGAGAAGGTATATGATATGAGTATTATTCTTGGGTACACTGCACACACAATAAAAACAAATATAACAATAAATAAATAATTCGTAGGTTAGTGGTGTGATTGGGAACAGTAAACCCCACAAAACTTGAAGTGGTGGGGCCAGTTACACGCTTGCATCGCCCTTTGCATTATGGGATGAGGACCCAAAATTTAACAAAAGATACCTTTGCTTTCCTAATCCTGGTTCGGCCCCACATTGCTCATCTTGCACTGACTTATCTTCTGTACCTCGGTTTCTCCCCGCGTTTCGTTAAGTAAACGTCACACTCTTGGACCTCTCTATAACAGTTTTTTCATTATCACCACATGCCAAACCCAAGCCTACCACGTGTGACCACACTCCTGTAACTACTTAACCCAATTCTTAAGTTTTAACTCCACCGTATGGGAAATGTGTGTCTTTTTAAGGAACACCAACTTATTTTTATTTTTATTTTTTTTTTGTAAAAAGGTACATATAAAGAGAGAGAATTTTTATTTTTATTTTTTTATCTTTACTTTTTTTCAGAAAAATCCATATCTTTATGTTTATTTCTCTATTAAAATAATTAACGTAAGTTTATGTCTTTTAAAATAATACATGTTATTCTTCTACAAGAAATAGAAAAAGTCCAATAAATTTAAAAAAAATAAAAAATTGTTTAGGAAGTTACTTTACATGACTGAGTTAGTTTGTATGACATTTCATATGAACGTTTTGTGAGGTTTAGCATCTCTCTCAAATAGAATAACGTGTTTATATATATTTGTTTCTGGGGGAAATTGTATAGCTCGATTAGTATTAAGTAATGAAATATTTGTCTTTGCGCTTATAAAGCTCAAATGCTATGCTAACAAGTGGAAATGTATTGGGTATCGTTTCCCCCATGTTGAGATTTCTTTTCATGAATGTCGGGGAATGGAAAAAAGTTTTTCTTTTTCATGTAAATAAATCTTTTAGCTTAGAAAAGGAAAAGTTTTGCAAAGCCTCGGTAATATCGACCATTCTGGGGAATGAGTTTTTTTTGGTAAAGGAATGAGTTTTCACTCGTGCAGACATAAAAAAATATTTTATCAAATTTTTTTTTTAAAATTTGATGGATTCCATTATTTTTTATTTCTGCTGGAGAGTTAATAGTTTCTCCCATCATGTGAAATAATTAACCCTTCTGTTAAATGGCTTTCTATAACTTGTTAGTTAAAGATACGAGAAGATTTTGTGTTATTTTAAATGATATATAGTTGTATAGTGAGAAAAAGAGATAAATTATGAAAGAGAGAATGGACAAAAAATAAAAATAAAGATATGGATCCCATTATGATAATAAAATAACATAAATTATGTCGTTTAAAAGAACAAACAATTTTCCCTAATTATTTATATACATCTCTTAATTATTTGTCATATTTAACCGCCCAAAGGATTGTTTTACGAAAGAAGGTTAAAGTTCTAACTTCACCACCAGACAACAACCGGAGATTATTAGACAATGTTAACAATGAACTCTTTTCCTTGTGAAGAAAATGTGACCGATTATTAACACATTGCTCGTCACGCGTTAAAGTTAGATTCTACTCTCTCTCTTTAACTCAACCCTAATTTTTTTTAGGTTAATTGATTTTTTCCGATATTTTTATAAGTTTTGATTTTTTGAGCCGATTATGAGATTAATTCGAAGTGCGGAACGAAAATATTTAACCCCCTCTCAAAGGTAATATATGTGGATTGAACTGAGATATTTTTCTTTTCACTTACTCAGCTCCTTTACTATCAACTGAACTACCACTATTTAGTATTACTATCTAAAGCTAACACCTAATTAAAAGTCCTAACTTCATCATTCAAAATAAAATAAAAATAATCCTAACTTCAGGGTATGTATTGTTACTTTTGTCCATAGAAGTGAGTTTGAAAACCGGTTCCATGAGATTAGTGGATGAATTAGCAAAAAAAAAAAAAAAAATTAAAAACTCCAAGTAATCACGACTTGGATATGATTAGTTCCAGATAATAATAAAAATCAAAATTTTTAAGTTTAGTCATGTTGAATTTTGTTAAATTAAGATTTTTTTCCACACCAAAAAAAATTAACTTTTTTTTATTAACATAAACTCTTGTTCTTAACGGGCGTTTGGATAAACTTTTTTTCCCCTTTAAAAAAGTACTTTATTTAACAAAAAAGTTCTTTTAAGTGATTTTTTTTATAAATTCTTTTAAGTGATTTTATGCGTTTGAATAGCAACTTTTTTAAAAAAAAAAAAGTTTATATGATGCTTTTTAAAAAAATAGGAGTAAATGTATTCCAAAAAAAAAAAAAAAGGAGTAAAAAATTAATTTTTTTCTAAAAATTTCAATTTTACTCAAATCCCACTCCACCCCACTATTATTACATATCTTTTTTAGTAATTATATATATATATAATATGATTAATAATTTTAACATTCAAATATTTCTTTTAAAAAAATAACTTTTAAATATTTCATCCAAACATAAAATAATTTTAACTTTTAAAAAAAGTCATTCTAAAAAAAACAAGCCACAAAAAATCTTTTTTAAAAAAATCTCATTCAAACGGACCCTTACACATTTAACTAAACAAAGTTATAGTTGTTTGAGAAGTAGAACTTGAGCTTCCATTGATAAAGGTGATGGTTACGGGAGGTGCTCTGATAGGCAATAGGGGGAGGTATATTTGCAGACACTCTGATACTTAAGTCAATATGTGTAAGAGATAAATATTTGAGATATAAATATTTTTGTTGATGATGATTTGAGGATGAAAACTCTTGCCAATATATGACTGCCCGAAAAGATGGCCTTGTTAAAATGGGTGAAATGTGCATAATTTCTTATTATGGAGGATATGCATGATAGTGGGTGAACATTCTTCCTCATATTTATAATATCTTGAATTATAATTATTTTGGTGGCTTAAGCCTTAAATATGATTAACTTGCATTAAATGACAAAACATCTACATTACTAATATTTTCTTCTTCTTTATACAACCACCATCCTACGTGCTTGTCTCACGAATTAGTGACTGATCTAAAAAATTTTATAATAAGGGACAAAAATAAAATTTTAAAACTATAAGTATTATTAAAATAAATAGAAGATAGTAACTATTTTAAATATTTTTTTAGAAAGGAGCTAACTATTAATACTAATAATCTACTCAAAGAAATCAGAGAGAGAGAGAGAAGAGATGAAGAGAAAGTAAACAGGGAGAGAGAATGAATAGTATTTCTTGAAATGAATAGGTGTTACACGATAGACTATATAGACACAGCAACTATTGCCACGTCATCTAGTTCAATTACAACTATAATCAGTTTTCTAAAACTGAGACGGTTGCTAATTACAATAATGACCTTTGTGTACCTTTATCTACTCTAATAGGCCCCCTCAAACTCAGGGTGGATGAAGATAGGAAGAAGAATCAACCACCATGAGTTTGTCCCTCAAACACCATGTTTTATTTCCACAACACCATTCTGATGATGAGTGTGGAGACATGCAACTCTGTGAACTATACCCAAATTTTTAAGATGTTGATGAAATGGTCTAAACTCACCACCCCAATCAGTTTGAAGAGCTTTAATGGTTGATATGAAGTTATTGGATACAAGGGCATGGAATTGATTAAAAACAGTCAATGCTTCTGATTTTTGTTTAAGAGGATAAACCCAAGTATATCTAGAGTGAGCATCTACAAAAGATATGTAATAGGTAAAACCCATTGTAGATTTGACAGGTGTTGGACCCCATAAATCACTAAAAACAAGATCAAAAGGTTTTTCATATATTTTGGTGGATGGACCAGAATGTAATCTATGGATTTTTCCCAAACAACAAGCAGAACAAAAGGTAATGTCTGATTTACTAGGAATTGGAATATTACACGATTTGAGAACAGAATTTAATGCCTCAGTATGAGGATGACCCAACCTACAATGCCAAAGAGAGTACAGAGAGTTTGATCCTACTGAATTTGTAGAGCTAATAGCTTTATTGGCTGTGTTTTGTGTGAGTACATCTGTGGATACTGGACTATTACAAACTGAATTATTACAACTAGTAGACAAGTTTTTTGAACTACTAGAGACAGAGTTGAGATGAGCAACAGGAGCACATAGTTAACTTGATGGAAGACTAGGGACAGAGGAAAGATTAACTCCTTGAAACCGGTACAGACCATCAGTTCCCAAAGCACCTTCCAGCAACACCTCATGAGATACCTGAGATTTTACACAGCAAGTGAAAGGGTGAAATTCAAAAAACACATTGTTATCCCTAGCAAATTGACTCACACTGATGAGATTTTTAGTTATAGAGGGAACAAGAAGCAAGTTGTTTAGGTGAAGGAAGGTGTGTGGATGGAGTGGAGAAGAGAAAGAGGAATGACCCATAGCATTCACTTGCAAACCTTGGCCGTTTCCTATGTACACCTGATCTGCACCTGATAGTTGTGTGCTTTGTATCAGGTTTTGAGAATTGGCAGTGACATGATGAGAGGCACCAGAATCTGGATACCATTCTATGGTCTGCACATTTGTGGGAGTAGGTAAGAGACCTTGTCCTTGAGACTGTAGAGTGACATTGCAATGTTGTGGAGTGACATATGAAGCTGCATGAGGAGGTTGATTTGTAGTCAATAGTGCTTGAGGCTGACCAGTGTTAGGTGGTCTATTATACTGGAAAGACCTTTGATACGAATGCTGAGGTGATGGAAGGAATTGAGGAGAATCATGTGAGGTGAATTCAGGCACAAAGTTTTCATCAAACCTATACCAGCAACTTTGAACTCCATGTCCGAATTTGTAGCATAGCTGACATTGAATATTATTGCGGCCTCTACCTCTGCCTCCTCTATTGCTTCTACCATAGAATCTTCCTCTACCTCTTTCATAACTGGAATTATAGGATCGTTGATTCTGAATAGTGTGCATAGGCTCAAGTGGAGGTCTCATAGCTGGTGATTCGGATCTTG